AAAAAAAAAAATAGAAAAGAAAGGAAAATTTCCAAACTCAAGCCAGCATTACCCTGCGATCAAAACCAGAGAAAGACACCACAAAAGAAAAAAGTACAGGCCAGTATTCCTGATTAACATAGATGCAAAAATCATCCACAAAATATTAGCAATCCAAATTCAACCATACATTTAAAAAAATAATTCACCATAATCAAGTAGTACTGTGGGCGCAAGGATGGTACAACACTCATAAATCAACTTGATATATCACTATAACAACACGAAGGATAAAAACCATATGATCATCTCAGTAAATGCAGAAAAAGCATTTGACAAAATTCAACATCCATTCATGATAAAAATTCTCAACAAAGTGGATTTAGAGGGAGTATATCTAAATATAATAAAGGACATCTATGACAAAACCACAGCTAACACCATAAAGGACATATATGACAAAACCACAGCTAATATCATACTTGATGCTGAAACACTGAAAGCTTTTCCTCTAAGATTAGGAACAAGACAAGAATATCAATTCTCACCACTTTTATTCAGCATTGTATTGGAGTCCTAGCTGCGACAATCAGACAAGAAATAAAAGGCATCCAAATTTGTAAGGAAGAAATTAAACTGTCCCTATATGCAGATGACATGATACTACATAGAGAAAACCCTGAAGAGTCCACCCAAAAAGCTTTAGAATAAATAAATTCAGTGATGCTGCAGGATACTAAGTTAAATACAGAAGTCTGTTGCATTTCTCTACACTAACAATGAACTGGCAGAAAGGAAATTAAGAAAACAATCCCATTTATGATTGCATCAAAAAGAATAAAAGACCTAGGAATGAACTTACCCAAGGAGGTGAAAAACCTATGCTACGAAAACTGTAAGGCATTGAGGAAAGAAATTGAAAGCATAAACAAATGGAAAGATATGCCATGCTCATGGATTGGAAGAATTACATTAAAATGTCCATACTCACCAAAGCAAATTACAGATGTAATGCAATCCTTATCAAAATACCAATAGTATTTTTCACAGAACTAGAACAAATAATCCTAAATTTTGTGTGGAACCACAAAAAACCCCAAGTAGCCAAAGAAATCTTAAGAAGAACAAAACTGAGGCACCTGGGTGGCTCAGTCGGTTAAGCATCTGACTTCGGCTCAGGTAATGATCTCACGGTTAGTGGGTTCGAGCCCTGCATTGGACTCTGTGCTGACAGCCAGCTCAGAGCCTGGAGCCTGTTTCAGATTCTGTATCTCCCTCTCTCTCTGACCCTCCTGGGCTCATGCTGTCTCTCTCTCTCTCTCAGAAATAAACATTAAGAAAAAAAAAAAACTAGAGATATCACTATCTCAGGTATAGTACAAAGCTATATCAGTGGAACAGAAGAGAAAATTCAGCAATAATCCCACACGTATATGGTCAATTAATCTATGACAAAGGAGGCAAGAATATACAATAGGAAAAAGACCATCTCTTCAATAAGTGGTGTTGGGAAAACTGGACAGCAATATGCAAAAGAATGAAACTGGGCCACTTCCTTACACCATACACAAAAATAAAATCAAAATGGATTAAAGACCTAAACATGAGACCCAAAACCATAAAACTCCTAAAAGAAAATACAAGCAGTAATCTCTTGGGCATTGGCCTTAGAAACATATTTATGGATAATATCTCCTCAAACAAGGGAAACAAAGGCAAAAATAAACTATACACCAAAATAAAACACTTTTGCACAGCAAAGGAAACCATCAACAACAGAGGCAACCTATTGAATGGGAGGACATATTTGCAAAATATATATTCAATAAGGAGTTAATATCCAAAAAATAGAAAGAACTTATAGGGGTGCCTGGGTGGCTCAGTCAGTAGAGCATATGATTCTTGATATCATGGTCTTGAGTTCAAGCCCCATGTTGGCCATACAGCCTATTTAATTAAGGGGAAAAAAAAGAACTTAGCTCAACACTAAAAAAAAATCCAATTAAAATTGGGCAAAGGACCTAAATAGACATTTTTCCAAAGAAGACGTACAGATGGCAAACAGACATGAAAAGATGAAAAGATGCCCAACAGCACTAATCAGGAAAATGAAAATCAAAACCACAATGAGATATCGCTTCATACTTGTCAGAATGGCTAGTTTCAAAAGGACAAGAAATAAGTGTTGGTGAGGATGTGAAGAAAAGAAAACCCTCTGGGGCGCCTGGGTGGCTCAGTCTTGATTTCAGCTCAGGTTAGGATCTCAAGGCTCCTTGGATGGAGCCCCAAATTGTGTAAGGTTCTGCACTGACAGTAAGGAACCTGCTTGGGATTCTCTCTCTCTCTGCCCCTCCCCCACTTGCGTGCATGTTCTCTCTCTCTCAAAAAAAAAATTCTTTTTTAAAAAGAGAAAAGAGTACCCTCATGCATTGTTAGTGGGAATGTAAATTGGGGGGGACAGGGAGTGTAAATTTTTGGTGCAACCATTGGAAAAAAAAGAATGGAATTACCTTAAAAAATTATAAATAGAAATGCCATCTGATCCAGCGATTCCACTACTGGGTATTTACCCAGAGGAAATCAAAACACTAATTGGAAAAGGGCTACCCACCCCTATGTTTATTGCAGCAATATTTACAACAGTCAAGATATGGAAGCAACCTAAGTGTTTTTCATAGATCAATGGATAAAGGTGATATGTATGCACATATACACACAATGGAATATTTCTAAAACATTAAAAAGAATGAGATCTTGTCATTTACGACAACATGGAGGGGCCTAGAGAGTATTATGCTAAGTAAAATACATCAGGCAGAGAAGGCAAATATCGTATGCTTGCACTTATATGTATAATCTAAAAAATAAAAAACATAAAGAGATAGATAATTACAGAGAACTGGTGATTGCCAGAGGGGAGGGAGTAGGTGGGATAGGTGAACTAAGTGAAGGGGATTAAGAGATACAAACTTCCAGTTATAAAAGAAATAAACCACAGATTTGGAAAGTACAGCATAGTGAATACAGACTACAATATTGGAAAAACACTCTATGGTAACTATACTTATTGTGGATGGTGAGCATCGCATTATGTATGGTACTGTCAAATCACTAGGTTGTGCACCTGAAAGTAGTATAACATTGTCAACTATACTTCAATAATAAAAATTAAGGAAAACAAAACAAAACAACTTACCATCCAGGAGGAGAGAAGACTGTAAAATTGACCACAGCGCTATGAGTTTCAGTTGCAACCTAGCAATTGAGCTGAGGCCTCAAGCTCTTGTAGGATGTTTTCCTCTGATTACTTGTTTAAAGTTGACAATTTGGAAAATACAGAAAAGAACAAGTAAACAAACAAAAAAACAACTAATAAAACAAAAAGCACCTGTAATTCTCCCACCAGGAAGAGAATCACTGTTAGTAATTGAGTATATCTTTTACATGCTTTGGTTTTGCTTTTCAAATTTGCTTAAAAGTAGTACATGCATATAGCCAAAAAATTCAAGTAGTATAACAAGGCATACCACTGAAAAAGGTAAAAACCCTGCTCCCTAAAGCTATGTTGAAATAAATTTCTAGATCCAAGATGGAGTCCTTCCTGTCAAGTGTACCCTATAAATTCTGCTTGACCGGAAATGCTGAATACCCTGTCAGCCAATCCGCAAAAGTCAAGGAAACTCTGGGCTTTAAACTTACTTCCTTTTCCTTGATCTTTCTGTATAAGGTCAGATATGCAACCCCAGCACAGTTTCTGAGTTGCCTCTTCTAATGTAAAAGTTGCTGTTGCCCAAACCTCCCCTGGTAGGCATTGCTTGTGAGGCAATGTATTCTCCCAATCCATGGATTATTTTCTCTTGAAGGAAGGATATCAAGCTAGTTAATTGTTTTGTCATTTGTCAGGTTAACAGCTAGCTTCACTGTGAATCTCTCTGCAATTCAGAATTCAAAACTAATGCATAAAACTGCCTTCACATATACATTTACCCCTTAAAATGGATACAGATGTAATCACAGTATCAGGTGTTCTGCATTCTCGTTTCCTTAACTAGATAAATCTCCCCCATTCTTAGTAGAGCTGGACCTATTTTGACTGCGTTCATGGCTGCTATAATATAACCAGTTACTGGCAGGCGGTGACCCCAGGGAGTAGGTGGTAGGCCATTTCAGGATGAGGGGATTTAAGGAACCAGATTTGTACGGCGGGAGGTAATCCAATTTGGTTTGCACTAGGGTATCAGCAGGATGACTTGAGGCCAGAGAGTGGGCCTAGTATGCCAAGCGAGCACTTTATTTTTTGTAGTGGAAAGGAATAAGGAAGTTAGTTGGTTTGGGTGAGATACGGGTTGTCTGAAGCAGGGCTTGACAGGCTGACAAGTGGAGCTGTCCAGGAGGGGGCTGACATTCGGGTCTAGAACAGAGTAGGGATTTGGGTTGGAAAAATCGCAGGGCTGGTTAGTTTTCTGCGGCCTGGTCCTCACTGCTCCCTTGCCTAAGAAAAGCCCTCTCTTTTCCCACATTCGGTGAAGGATTCACTAGGTGCGTCACCTTTTTCCTATACCCGAGGCTAGGGCAGATCCTTCTAGCGGCTACATAACGAAATCCCTTAATCCTTCCCCGCCCCCACGTCGCGGGAATTCCGAGATCTGGGCGGGCCTTCTACTAGTTGATCTAAGAAACAGAGATTGGAGAATACGGCCGCCAATCAGACTTCCCAGATACCCGGATGTGAAGCTGTGCGTGATACAAAGACGAGTTTCCACCCAGCGCTTCGTCAGGTACAGTGACCAATAAGCACTTCTCAGATGATAAGTGACAGGAAACGTAGCCATTTGCAAACTAGTGTCTCCCACGCATGTGGAAATTCTCCTGCAGAGTCTAACCCACTACTGATTGTGATTGGGCAGCATTGTGAAGAACAGTAGAACTGTCTAATTAGAAGCGGGAGCGAGAAAAGTCGCAACCAATAGCAGGATTCTCGGGAGCGGGGCGGGGGCTAGGCCTTCGCCTCGGCGGCAGAGGAGGCTCGGGGGCCATTTTGTGAAGAGACGAAGACTGAGCGGTTGCGGCCGCGTTGTCGACCTCGAGCAGCAGTTGGCTTCTCCACGTAGAACTCGGGAGTAGGAGATTCAGAATCGAATCCCTTCTCCCTCCCCCCTCCTGGTAAGTGGAGGGGGCGGAAGCTGGGCTGGCGCTGGGTTCCTCCGGGAGCGTGAAGGGGTGTGGGAGAGAAGACGAGGGAACCCTACCCTCGGTAGAGTAACTAGGCCTCCGTTTATTCAGTTTGCGTTGGGCCATTAGGTTTTATACAGGACAGAGTTTTATAGGCCTCAGCCCTTGCGTAGATTTAACCTGGTGTCCTCTGGGCCACGATCGGCGGGGGAAATGTCCTTTTTCTTTTTCGCTCTTTCTGTGTTAACGGCTGCTTCCTTTCATTTTCTACGACCATGAGGACTCCAGGAGAGATAAAGGGAAGATCGAGATGCTCAGATGCTCCTTAATACAGTTGAAGTTCCTGTAGTGTCGATGCCTCGTGTTAAATTTAAAAATTGGGCGGGGGATGGGTAAGGGTTACCAAGTAAATCTTGTACCGCAAGCCTTTTAGATCCTGGAGCGTACCGCAGGGCATGAGTAGTAAATATAACAATAGATTTAACGTTTTGCCGATTACTCTTTATTTTACACTTCTCTGAGCAATGGCGGGCCTCGAAGTAGTTATTCTCAATTCTATTTTTTTTAATTGTGATCATTTACATATTAACAGTAATAATTAAAGCTGGCTTTTTATCTGCAGGTTACAAATCACTTGAAATATATAAGTTAGTGGAACTTTGCTTGAGGTAGGTACTGCTATCTTTCTCAGACAGAAACTGAGACTCTTAGAGTGTCGGTTACTAGGACCATATTAAATCAGTAGCGGAACTACTAAGGAATTTGACCACTAGGTTGGTTAGTCAAGTGCCTTTACCTACTATTGGAATAGTAGGTATTAGAAGTACTATATTTGAATTTTTCAAGAACCGAATTACAGCAACCGCTAGCGGTAATTGGAAATTTCCAAACTGCGCTTGGAGAAAATAACTTAATTATGGGAACTGCAGTTGTTAATTAATGTAACAGTGTAAGAGAAACTTAAAATTTGATATTCACAATAATTCTGGCATTTTTCCAAAATATCTAAACTTTGGTAAAAATGTGTACATATTTTTTATTAAGAAACTATTATAATGCTTAATCTTTAAGTCCAGAAATTTACTAAAAATGTTGACTAAGTTTATAAAAATTACATAGGTTTTTTATCTAAGTAGTATCACATTCACTTAACCAAGAAATCACTTTTTTTTCCTTCAAATTCTGGGAAGGGGAAGATTAATTGATTTTATTTTTCATAATGTGTTACTCTCACAAAAACTATTATTAAGCAAAATTTAAACCAAAACTGCAGGGTAAATTCATCTCAGGAAACAGAAGGTAAATGTACTTTTATCAGGAATAGTGATGCATTTGTGTTAATTCCCTCACTATGTAGATACTGTAAAAGGGTTTGGAAGCATTGCCCTTTAAAAATGTAAACATGTATATTATTAAATGGGCTTAAAACTAAAGTTTATCACTGCAGAACTGTTAGAAATGAGATAAGGGTAGTGATTGTTTAAGTAACAACCGTAATATTGTTGGCAGATAAAGAGAAATGTAAAGAATTAATATTTAATAACAGTTATTGATAAGAATTGAAATTAATTCAGGGGCTCTTTTCTTGCTTTGAGGTGTTAGAAATACGGGGTTTCTTAGGATCAGCATGTACCAAGGAAACAATTATTTTGAGTTTGATATCCAGCTGGAAAGATTTGGCCCCAGAATTAATGTTTGAAACAATTTTAGATGTGTTTTTAGATACATAGGATTTAGTAGCATTTTCACATGGCTAAAGAGGAAGAGTTTAAGAAGGAATTCTAAGTTGCAGGTCTCCTGACCTTGTGTTTTCCCATGCCCGTAGCACTGGAGTGCTTGGTGGTTTTGCTATTCCTTCTGTAGAAAATTTAAACATTCCTTATATTTGTGATGAGGTCTTCAGTGGGTTTCATATAGCGTGTGACTTTGTTGAATGGGACTGCTGTAAGAACAAGGTATAAATCTGAAGTAGTTAATTATTTTAATATTAAAGATTATATTAAGTAGTCATTGTCTAAGGTATTAATTGGGGAGTGATAGAGATTAAGAGAACTAGACTTTATTCTCTGTATCCACCCTCTTTATTGTGTTAGGCAAATAATTTAAACCTTAGGGATTTCAGTTTTGTACTTAGAAGAAGGGGGCTTAAACTAAGATCTTCCGTATTTTCACCTCTGATTTCTACTCAAGTCATTTGTTGTCAGAAGTCTGAAGTGTTCAGAAAGTTTTATTATTAAAAGCAGTTTTTGTATATTAGTAACTTTTCTACTTTAACTCTTTTTTTGTCTACTTCTGAAGTAGTTTTGTTTGGAGGGCATTACTCATACTTAGCATGTATACTACAGCTCTTTGGGATCAGGGAAGTAGATGATTTTGTACATATTAGATATATTAGGGAATTGACTGGTGAGATCTAGTACTATTAGATATTAGATATAGCATAACTGTGTGTATTCTCTTAGATATTAGAAAGTTAAGGTTTGTTAAGGGGAAAAAGATCAGTTTTTTAATTCTTTTGGTGTATTTACTATGATAGGTTATGATCTTGGATTTATTTTGCCAGGGGATAGAGGTTCCCCATTAAGTTCGCCGTGTTAACTGACCTTAGAATTAACAAGGGGAATAGTGGGAAGTAGATTGCAGTGCTCTCCACCACTAGGGTTTCTAATTAGGCTTGGTGTAGGCCCTGACAATTTGCATTTCTAATAGGTGCCACTTGGTGTTGTTTGGCAACCCTCACTTTGAGAATAGTCTTTTAGAAGAAAGGTTGCAAATCTCCCAGAGGTTAGACAAAGTATTATCTAGGTATAATTACGCCCTAAAGGGTTTTTTTTTTTGTTTCGTTTTGTTTTCTTGAATGAGTTGCTAGCGCATCAGTTCAACATAACATTTTGGAAGACTTTCAGAATTGTGAATGCTTCTTTTCATATTAACTTAATAAGCTTAGGTCTTGTGACATACATGCAGTGGATTTATTTGTAAATGAGCCACAATTTACTTAACATACTCTGAAAATTTTGAGTGCCAGGTTCAGGCTAGGACTCCAAGTAAGAAAATTGAGAAAGTTTCACCATAAACGTATATCACAAACACTGTTTTAGAGATCATATTCAAATGAGCGTACGTTTTCTACAACTTTTCTTTATAGTTTGTACAATTTTTTTAAAAAGATTTTATTTTTAAGTAATCTCCATACCCAGCGTGGGGCTTCATCCCACAGCGCTGAGATCAAGAGTCACATGCTCCTCTGACTGAGCCAGCCAGGCACCACTGTAGTTCATCCAATTTAACACATCAGTCCAAGTATGAAAGTAACTGCCTTGTCATGCCTAAACTGGTCTGCTACTTTGGAAAAATAGTTAAAATTTTAGAGGTTTAGTATCTGTTCTGTTGCTGTAGTCATTGATACATAATTGATGCAAGGAACACTTTTTAAAAGCTTATTTTAAAATGTTTAAGTTTTCTGACATCTGCCTGAATACTGAAATGTGAGGGCAACCAGTTCCTTATTTGCTCAGAAGACCTACAGTCTAATTGCAAATCTTACAGTCTGGTCATGTATGTTATTTTTTAATGTGGTGGTATATAGCAGATTCTTGGATTTCATATCTTGGAATTAGCTCTGTATACTAGCTTATAAACAGTGGGACCACAGAAACAAATTCCTCAGGGACCACAATTTATTTTTCGCCTGTTTTATGACATTAAATATTCAGTAGCTCTAATCTTTTCTTCATTTGTGGTTTTTCCATTGTCACTAAGTAGAATGATGAGCTCCTTATTATATATTGTTATGTGCTTCTTATTTAAAGCATCTTTCCCCTTTATGTAGAACCTATCAGATCTTTTTGTTCAGTCATTTACTAGTTTTGAGAATAGATGTCATCTCTAGTATGTATCTTCATGATAGACCATTCCCCCTTCATACTCTTGATATTTGACTTTTGCTCACTTCTTCATCTCTTTTGGCCTGGTTTTTCTATAATTTCTTTGCCCAAACTGCTGATTATCAAGATGATCATTTGATTGTAGATTTTTGTTTTTTAAGACCCTTTTGGGAATATAGACATATATTCAGTAAATTTTAGTCACCAACTGATAATTGAAGAATTGTGAAGACAGTCACTGGAGGAGGGGATGGTTCTGTAGAGGCTTTCCCACCCCAGTGTAATGTTATGCTTTACCAAAATGTGTTAGACGCAATGGACAGATGTTTCTGTCTTGGGGGTTTAGGGCACAACATTTCTGAGGAACTCTGACTCAATCTGTCCCTTCTCCTTTCACAGGGCAGCAAGGCGAACCCCATCCCTACTCACTGGAGCTCAGCTTTGATTTTTAACCTCCCTTCCCCACCCTTCCAGAACACACACATTCCCATTCCAAAACTGATTTTATAAAGACATTTTAAATATAATGATGCAACTTGGTGTGCACTACGGCAAATTTACAGGTGTTTTTTTTTTAATTGTTTCCAAAAACGGGCCTTGGATTATAATGTAATTTTTAAAATTTCTATTTCTATTTTTTCTGCAGCAGTTGGGTTAGAGGAGGAGGAGCCTTTTAGCCTCTCATAAACTGACCTCTCTACTTCCTCGTGTATTTTTAAGATTGATTGATGATGTGGAAAGGGCTTTGCTTGTCTGCTACTGAGAACTTTACCCTTGCGGTTTTTGTGGAAACTGCTTTTGGAAAAAGAAAAGAAAATTGAACTTTACTGACTTAACATTTTTGCACCTCCCGTTTTTCTAATCTGGGCTATTTTTATTTTTGTTTTTTTACAGTGAGATTTTTTTGATCTTCAGCTACAGTAAGTTATTCCAATTTTTTTTTTACATTTTTCCTGACTTTCCGCTGATTTCCTTTTTATTGTTGTTACTAGTTACTATTATTATTTATTATTATTATACTTATGATGGTGATGATGATGATGATAATGACACTGATGATTTTTAACCGGATTAAAATCGAGTTTTTCTGAATGTTCGTAAGAATATCTCCGGCCTCCTGATTGACTTTGGAGTTTTACATCTTGGGAGAGAAAGTGAAGGCATTAGCATTTTTAAGTAGATTGATCACATAAACCTTTTCTCTCCCAACCCCACCCTTGCCCTCATCCCCTTCCCCACGCTTGAAAGAATTTTACTGGCTGTTAAGTCTGTGACCTTATTTTTCCTGATCTTTAACTTAACTGTTTTAGAGCATCTCTGGACGTCTGTATTTTTAATTTTTTATTTTTGTTTTTTTTATTTTTAATCTTTCATTTGTTAAATTTTTAAACTGTGCTGCAATAAAATGTGTGTGGTACTACTTAACACCTATAATAGTGATGGCATTTTCCCAGAAAGCCATCTCCTCCTGTTTCCCTTGAAATCCCTTCCTGCTTTTCCTGTACACTACTACCCCTCACAAACCACAAGCTGCAGCAACATGGATGCCCAGCCTGGAACAGCAGCAGCCAGGATGACCTGGAGCCAGGGGGGCCTTCGGAACAGATGCACACCCTTCCTGGGTGATGGTAAGAGGTGTGAGGTCCACTTGGTTTCATTGCAAAGACTAGGAAATACACCCCTTTTAAGTCTAGTTGATACGGTGTAGGTGATAGCTTCTGGAAATGTTTAGGTTGAGATTTTTGTGTGTCTCAGGTGTTTCCCTAGGGATGCCACCTCAGTTTTTTGTAAAATATAATGGAATTACGAGTTTGTAATTAACTGAGAAATTTTGGTAATTGGAAAGAGCAGCTGAAGTTTACATTTATTTTAGAATGAAAATGGTTTGTTTTAATTAGCAACAAGACAAGAGACGAGCATATTACATGGTTTTTTTTTAGATTATTGCAAATTAGTAGTGATGTCATTCAGAGTAATCTTGTTTGTATTGTGGATTGTATTCTATTTAGACTGTTCTTAAATGAAAATTAACGTGAATCAAACCATAGGAAACATCCGGTAATAGTAAATACTATCTCACTGGGAGGTGTGTGTTTTTCTGTTTTTTGTTTTTTTGTTTAAGGATAGCTAGGCTTTTTAATCTCAGGAAGTGAAATCTAATATGTATCCAAATCAGGAAAGATTTGAGGTTGACCTCTCTCAATGATGACTTGTGGCCCAGCTAAATGTTGGGGAACCTGGTGTGTTCCCAAGAGTACTAGTAAGGAATGAGTACCTAAAGACTCAAGAATTCTAGCAACATCTAGTATTTTACTGACAATAGTGAAATATTTTGATATAACTCACTTCAGAGTTGCCATAGTATATTTCGAAGTGAGGTTTAAAATGATTTTTAAATGCATTGAATGCTGTGTGGCACTAGGGTCATTAACATACTTACCTTGCTGGTACTAAAAGAATAAAATCCTATTAAAGTGAACACTGAAGGCATTCTCAAAGTAAACCAGAAAGGGAGAAAGCTCTAAACTGTCTTGAGGTTATATGGAAGAGGAATGGAATTTTTTTTAATGGGTCCAAGTATTGTTGATAGCCTTTACTCTATGAAAGTTATTTTTACCTGTCACTCTCTGTCTTTGTCATTGTGTGGTTGCTGTTCACTGTACACCCTTTCTTGTTCGTTTTGCAGATTTCTCTTGTGGGTCATGTTCTAGTTTGGGGAGATACCAAAAGGTATAGTTCTTAAGGGACTCAAGAACTTGTGAGGGAAACATGAATGAAATGTCACCATGTGATTAAGAGGTAAACGTAAATTCTATAGAAGCATGCAAAAATGAGTACCCCATTGACTCCTAAAAGGTCAGGAAATCGGTCTTTTTAAAAATATTTTTAAAAAATGTTTATCTTAGAGTATGCAAGCAGGGGAGGGGCAAAGAGAGGGCCACAGAATCTGAAGCGGGCTCTTACCTGATAGATAGCAGGGAGCCCAATGTGGGGCTCAAAACCACAAACCACAAACCATGAGCTCATGACCTGAGCCAAAGTTGGATGCTCAACCAATCTGAGCCACCCAGGTGTCCTGGTCAGGAAATGCTTCTAAGAGAAGGAACTGAACTGAACCTTAGAATTAACTCCAGATTATAAAAATTTTACTGCCTGCCAAGGAGTTTTTATTTTATCTAAAAACCATTAGTGAGCTATTGAAAGATTTTCAACCGTGGGGTGTGATCAGATTTTAATTTTAGAAATGTCATTCCAGTATTGTGGAAATGGCTTAGAGGAGAATGAGATTCGAAGTAGGTGGTAAGCAAGATAATTAAAATACACAAAAATCAAACTGGGATTAGAGAGCTGAAAGTTTAGGAGGATTTGGTGGTGGTTGTGATAATGAGGAGCAAGGAATTCAGCATGACTACCAAGTTTCTGGCATAACTCCTAGGATAGATGTTGGGTAAACAAAAGGAGCAGTAAGAGTAGTAGAAAACAATTTAAACACTGGTTTTTGAGGTGTTCCTGGAAGATTCAGGTAAACATTTGAGTGCCTATTCTGAAAATCCTGGTTAGGCTGGGGCATATAGGGATGAACAAAACCTATTGTCCCTTGCTCTCTTTGGTAATATAGATCATTGCACACTTTGTAATCTAGAAGGAAAAGAACAGAATGAGATGAGAGGAAGAGAACCAAATTTAGAATATGGAAGTGGGAGGCTGCTGCCAGTGAAGAGATCTTAAAGGAATTAATGTTGAAATTAAGATCTGGAAGTGGGTTTTCCTACCTGAAAGCACAGAATAATGGGAGCAAAAACTTGGCTTTAGAGCAATAAGTACTACTGGAGAATAGTCTCAAATTCATAGAATAAGAGACAAAGTTGAAAAGACAGGCAAGTACCAAGCATAGCATATAGGTCCTTTTATGGCCACATTTAACACCAAGATTATCTTGGGAACAAAAGGAGTCTTTTGAAGGAACTGGAGAATGCTGAGATGTATTTCTTTGGAATTTCCTTCTGGCTATTGAAGGGGGAATGTAAGTAATGGACAAAGTTCAGAGAAGACAGTAAATTGGAATACTTTATCAGAGTGGTCACAATCTTGTTAATCTCTTAAAAAAGCACATAATCCTACTTGCCCAAGGTTTTCAAATTATATTTGGGGGGCCTATATTAATGAGCAGATATAAATAGTTTGAAGAGGGCAGGTTGATCAGATTCTAGGAAATACTGGTCACTTCTGACAGCTCCCTTGGGTTAGATCTGATAGGATCCCTTTTCTATTTGAAAGGAAAACTGAAGTAGACCCTCAATTTTTCCTTTTGGAAGTAATAATATGGACACTTTACCATCAGTGTTAAAGTCCTTATAACTTTTTTTAATAATTTATTTTAGAGGGGGAGAGGGCAAAGAGAGAATCTTAAACAGGCTCCACGCTCAGCACAGAGGAGGGCTAGATCCTATGACCTTGGGGTCACAACCCAAGCCAAAATCAAGAGTGAGATGCCCAACCGCCTGAGCCTCCCAGGCACCCTTGTCTGAACTTTTTTTAATCATCATCTTTGTATAAGTAGTAGTATTCACATTTTGGAGATGGGAATATTGAAGCACAGAATTTTAAAAATTTGCCCAAAGTTAGACAAGGTAAATGGTGACACATGGATTCAACTCAGGCAGTTAGGCCTACAGAATTCAACTCTTACACTAGGTTGACTGTTCTTTACTTGACGTATTGAAGAATTTCTGAAAAAGAAATCTTGGGTAAAAGTTACTGCCCCCCCAAAATTGTTTTGGAACTCCATTTTTTTAAAGACTTTTGAACTAAATATATATTTTGATGTTTATATCACTTTAAATGGCATAATGAAGTGTCTCTAGGTAATGAATTATTTAGGTAGATGTAGCTTTGTGGTATAATTTTATGAAATAGTTGGATGTGACAGTATTCTTTTGAGGACATAAATACATTCCAAAAGTGAGTTTTAGTCAAATAATTTATGGTTTAAAAAAATACACATCCTAGGGGGTGTGTTGCCAAATTCAGTCTTTCTTCAGACCTCATTACATTTGACCAGTTGGTATGATTTAACCAGTGCAGCCACTTTCCCCCTTGAAACATTTTTTATGTAGCTTCCAGGTTTTTCTGTTTCTGGCTTTTTTTCCCCTCTCACTTGGCTGGAGTGCTCTGTGGTTCAGTCCTTCCACTATTCCTTTTTACTCACCTTCCCTGGGTCATTTCATTTCATTCAGATGATTTTATGTACCATTTATGAGCTAATGATTCCCATGCTTCCATCACCAGCCTAGGCTTCTTTTGAATTACTTGCCAATCTAATTACCTAGCTGACTACTCCCTTTAAGTGTATCAACTTAGAAGTCCAAAACTGGGTACTTGTTATTCTCTCAAACCCGTGTAGCCTGTTTCAGTTAGTGAAACTCCAGTTCTTATGTCATTTAGGTCAGATGTTGGTTAGCCATCCTTACCTTTTTACTCTCATACCTCACCTTAGGTCTTGTGGAGTAGCCTGTCAGTACTTCCTTTAAAATAACAAGAACTGACCCATACTGCCATGGCTTGGTCCAGTTTCAAGCTGCCATTGTCTTGTGCACAACTGGAATAGGTTTAGGTTTTTTTGCCCCTCCCACCAGTGTGTGATAGCTACATTGATCCTGCTGAAATGTAATGCTTGAATAAATACCTGAAGGAGTTTCTTGAAACTCAACTAATAGCTCCTTATTTTCAGCATTAAAATTTCACTGTGATTTAACATGATCTGTTTTGTCCCTCTTTAATAATATTCTTACAGTATACTCTGTTCTAGCCACATTGCCTCCTTAATGAGTCTTAAACACACTAGATGATCCTATCTCTGAGCCTTTCCTTGAAATTTTCTTCCCCAGACATTCCTAAGATTAGGTTCCTCACTTAACTC